TTTGATTTAAAAATGAAAATGTATTCATCAGCAGGCTATTAGGGACAAGTTCAATTCGTTTACACCAAATCCCATACCCATAAGCCCTTATGGCTTAAAGTTTCCAGTACTGTTTGTCCCTCAATTTTCATCATTCAGTAATGCTGCCTTGCTGCTTTTATTTATTTAATTTTATAGATCACATTTTTTCCAGTGGATTATGAGCCCTCCCCCCCACACACTTCAACTGGGGGCAGAGCTCTCCCACTGGTAGAGTCCTAGAGTATGTCCCCCTCAAATCATCCTTTGGTTTCTCCTGAGAGTTTTAACCACAGCACCAATCAGTGCCAACCATAATATGCCTGTTTGACCACAGGAACCACACCAGCAATTAAGCAGCCACCAGGCAGTAACAACTTTTGGTCACTACCAACTTGGGGATTGAAGTGTAAACCTCTTTCTCCTGCCAGAAGTCTCTTGAGCCACAAGGAAATACTTTGCTAAGAGATGTTTCTTTTTTTTGTATAAAAGGCACTTTAACAGTTCTCCTCAGTTGTGAAAAAAATATGTAGCTGTATCCTCATTAATAGTCTTACCAGAGATTGGCCTTTTCTTTGAAACACTGGATTCCCATGATATGCCTAAGTCCTTGCCAGTAAACTTGACAATATCCTCTTCTGTGAGACCATCTGTGAAATAAAAGGAAATAAATAAATGCATGCAAGACAACATGCAAACAAGCATAACAGTGTGTAGCTAAATAAAAATGACTTTCAAGCACTATCTAAGAATCAGACCTGAACTGCAGAACTTGTATGGCTATTAACATCATCATTACTAGGGCAACGAACTAGGAAGAAGAAGTGGGAGGAAGGTCAAGGATAACAGCAGGGATCCCACAGAAAAAGCTAGTGGCTCAGCATGAGAGAGAAACACTGATTTTCTTTGGCAATACATAAAATAAACAACTGCTGGCTCCTGAAAGGAACCAGCTTTTTATATCCCCTCCTGAAATAGGCCTTTTGTTTATCACCAATGCAGAACCAGTAGAGAGATACTGAACCAAATGTAGACCATATTTGGAGTAGTGGAAGCAAAGTGCAGGTAAAATTCAGTGTGTACATAAAGACTGTCCTATTTAAAAGTAATATAAACAAATATAAAAAAGCCAAAAGTGAGACGAACTAAAAGCTCACTGTAACTATTCTTGGTACAGTATAAATGTTACACAGCCTGACATTTATAAAACAGCAATATTTTAATTTTAATATGCTTTCCCCTAGCAAAATAAAGTGCATCCACAAATTCCATTTGGTTGCATGACAGCTACAAACTGGTAAGCGGAGACTGAAAAGTTAAATTGAAATTTTTATTATATTTGTAGAAAAGAAACATCTGTGTAGTTCTCCTTACTGTGGCTCAGGCCATTACACTGAAAACAAAACATAACAAAAGAACTTATTACAAAATTGTCATGACCTACTCTTTGAATACATCTCAGAACTAACTGTTGACTTCTTTGCGATGCCGTTAAGTTTCATATAATGAACCAGTTTCAAACAGAATCTACAATCAAATTAACTTTCATCTTAACATTTTATTCCAACCTGAACATGATATTTAAATCAATTTACAGATTTCAAAGCTAGCCTGTTAGTGTATGGTTAGATATAGTGTTCCTACTACAGTCTAAAATCAGACTGATTAACTGAATGTTTATTATACAGGGGCCTAAATCGTGTTCTAATGGCAAATCACCAATTTATTTTGGTGCAAAGAGGATTTGAGCTTAACATCACAATCCTGAGTAATTTTGTATTTATTCACTAAGTCAAAAAAAGAGAAGAGCATCCAACAACTGGGATCAGTCTTATTGAAGTGGCCTTCAACATCAGCTGTTGGGCCATAAGCCTCAGACCACAGTTAAGGCATGGCTTTTCAGTGATTAGTAAATTTGCCGAAAAATAGTTTTGTAGAGGAATGGACATAAACTGTTTGCAAATTTGGGTCCAATTTAGAAAAAAAGGTTTAGGGAGGAAAAACTTCTGGAAAAATCAAAATGGTGGTTCCATCATTTTTCTTTGCAAACTATTTGAAACTCCCAAACAAAATGAACCATTTAATTTTTAGGTCTATGAAAACATTTAAACAATTCTTTCTTTCTTTATTTTTCCATTTGGTGGCCAAAATGAAAAATCCATTATTCATACAGCTCTGCCAGAACAGTTACATTCTTGCTGGGCACAGCAAAATCATTCAAAGTCATCAGTCACTATTAGAGGGGCCCAATCTACAACATTCAGGCCTTAAGTTTTGGACGTGCTTCAGCACATGGAGGGAGGTCTGAATGGAGGACTGTGATCTTGGATTTGCTATTTAATAACTTCCCTCTCCCCTCCCCCGCAATTCCCTTTAAGAGTTTGGGCCTTGTTTTCTCTTGCAATGTTTACAGATTACATAATGCACTTCTATAGGATTGTTAGGGCCACATTCTTTGTTTGACCTAAGTAGCTCTACTAACTTTTCACTGAAACCATTACATGGAATGAATATCACAATATTGCAGTGTGAAATAAGGAAGAAAACATACCCCAGTTTCACTTAAGCTTAGAACAGGACATGATGGTGGTTGCCAGCTGCAAAGGAATCTTACCCCAGGGTTAGGTACCGGCTTTCTTAATGGAGACATGTACGTAAGAGGATAAGCACTGTTAGCCCAGGGTGGCCAATACGGTGGCTGGAGATCAGCAGCCTACCACATTCTTGCCAGCTCCTTTCACTTCCACAGGCTCTTCTGCTATTTTATGTAGAAGGTAGGCAATGTATTTGTTTTATTGGACAAACAGACACAATCCTTTGCTTGTTCACTTGTTCTCAGGACCCAATAAGGTTATGAACTTCATTAATTGTGTCTGTGGGGTTCTTGTCCCACAGAGATCACACAAGGAGAACAGGGGACTCATTTTTTTTTTTATTAGTGACAAATAAAACTTCCTAGTACTATATGATATGGGTAAAATGGAAAAGCAAATAGTAGCCTGAGATAATGCAGCATGAGAAAGGTCCTCTGTTGATAGACTACAGAACATATACAGATACTCAATACATAACATCTCTCCCCCTAGCTGACATAATTCTGTAAAAATTTGGGGTAGATGGTGACCCCCACTTCAGGAGTCACAGACTTTGCACTCATTGGCAACAGCAGTAGGTATCTTTGGTTGTCCTAAGGTAGCTTCAGCAACAGGAAATGTCAGTGGGTCTAAAACAGCAACTGATGGGCCCATCAGAACTGGTTCCACTAGGTTTTGCAGAGGTCACATTGTCTGAGACTTGATCCTGCTTCTGGTCAATGTGCCTGCAAAGTGTATTTCCATCTGGAGCCTTAGCTGTATATGATACTGGCTAGGCCTGTGCAAAGCAGCAAGTATTTACTTCAGATTCAGCCTATTTGGAAGGACAGTGATTTGATTCAATGATTTGAATCACTGTCCTGATTTGATTTGGCCAATTTAGATTCGGAGATTCAGCCATAGGCTATACAGGCAGCAGTCCTCAACGATGCTGGACACGGCTGCTTCCAGCTGATAAGTCTGCTGTTGTGGGTGTTCCCTGCTGCCCCAGACCTCCAGATTTCAAGCAGTGGGGAATGCTGGGTGTTCCTCTGCCCAATGCAGGTCTGGGGCAGCCAGAAAATGCTGGCTGTTCCCTGGTCCAGCCAGTCTCAGGCGGCTGGCTGAGTGTGGAAGTACTTTCCCGCTTCTCCAGACCCATGGAGTGGGTCTGGAGTAGTGGGGAAAACTGGGATTTCCCTTGCCCAGCCAGCCTCACAGGGCTGGCTGAGTGGGCAAAGCAGCACAAGGTAATTAATGTCCATCGCAATAAAATGGCAGAGTCTATTACTACCTGTTGTTGCATCACTAATTTGCAAGCTTTGTGGCTCTACAAAAGATAAGGACATCTGTTTGCTCCACATTTGTGATGCTTCAAAAATTTTAAGGTGGCAAAAATGAGAAATCAAACAATGTTTTTTTCCACCGTATATGTTCAAGGCACTTAATTAATATGTCCCAGTTTAAGAACAAGACACACTTGAACATCTAAATGATTAAGCCCACACAGTTCAGAATCTGCCCCCAGAAGGAAGAAATCCCTCCTATCACTAGCTACAGAGATTCCCATCCCAAAATAAATCAATCCATAAAATGTGGTGTCACCTTAGCAGCAACATCAAGTTGTCCACTACCTCAACGCACTGGTAAATTTGGCAGTCTTACCAAGTCCAACTCCCTGCTACAAATATTACTGTTTAAAATTCTGTGTGATGCTAGTTGAATAATGGGTAAATCTGTATAAAAATGTGCAGAAAGTGAAATGTGAGTTTATGCTGAATTTAAGGAAGCAGGAGATAAAACAAGGCCAATGTTTCAAGGAGAAACTCTGATTAAGCCAGGTGATTGGCCTGGTTGTTTTGCTTTTCTTTCGGTCTGATTAAATACAGTCCAAAGGTACAGGAAATTTTGTTTTTGTTTGATTGTTACTTTAGGGTTATATGAGACTTGAACTACCCAACAGCTTGCAATAAGTGTCAGTGCATTTCCCTGTCTAATACAATTGGCTTATCATATGAGCATTTCATCTTACCACATTCATCCAAATTCTCAATTAGGAATGAGTGTGGCTGATAGCACTTGTATGTGTATATTTTTCTGTGGCTTTGATCATTCCCCTTGGATATCTGTATGGTCCACAAGATCTAGATTCCTCCCCAGATGCTGGAAATACTACAAAAAAACTGGATCATACTTCATTTCTGGGAGGCTGGGGAGGAAGAGTCCAAAAAAACAATTAAGTAAAATACTAAACATGTGAGTTCCTGGAGCAACTGAGTGCAAAACTACATTTTAAATATGAGAAGAAAGCAGCTTATAGAACCACAGAAAGTGAGAGTTGGAAGTGACCTCAGGAAGTCATCTAGTCTAACCCCCTGCTCAAAGCAGGACCATCCCCAACTAGATCATCCCAGCCAGGGCTTTGTCAAGCTGGGCCTTAAAAACTTCAAAGGATGGAAATTTCACCACCTCTCTGGATAACCTGTTCCAGTGCTTCACCACCCTCCTAGTGAGAGAGTTTTTCCTAATATCCAACCTAACCCCCTCCCTTGCTGCAACTTGAGATTTGCTCCTTGTTCTGTCATCTGCTACCGCTGAGAATGGCGTAGCTTCATCCTCTTTGGACCCCCGCTTCAGGTAGTTAAAGGCCGCTATTAAATCTCGTCTCAGTCTTCTCTTCTGCAGACTAAATAAACCCAGTTCCCTCAGCCTCACCTCATAAGCCATGTGCCCCAGCCCCTGAACCATTTTCACTGCCCTTTGCTGGACTCTGTCCAAATTGTCTGCATCCTTTCTATAGTAAAAGGCCCAAACTGGACACAGTACTCCAGACATGGCCTCACCAGAGCAGAATCATTATTTTCCTTGATCTGCTGGCAACGCTTCTACTAACACAGCCCAGTATGCCATTAGCCTTCTTGGCAACAAGGGTACACTGTTGGCTCATATCCAACCCCCAGGTCCTTTTCTGCAGAGCTGCTGCTTAGCCAGTCAGCCCCCAGGCTATATGGTAGTGCATGGGATTGTTCTGTCTTAAGTGCAGGATTTTGCACTTGTCCTTGTTGAACCTCATGAGA